TTTGGTACCTGCTCAAACTTCAGCTCTCCTCTGTCTGCAGCAAACTAGCAGGCAGCAGCTCCCCCCCCTCGCTCACAGGCGTCAGTGCTGTGCTCCGTCGCCCAGTGCCTGAGCTCGGATCATACCAAAGTTAGGGGGAATTTACGACTGTGCGCTCTGTGCTTCGAGTATTGTGTAGTTTTTGTTTTATACAGTTGTCAGTCAGGCCTCTAACTATGAAACAAGTTACACTCCAAAAGCCCCCGGGCTTCTGAAAAGATGACCCGGGCTTAAGCCCAGCAAGCCCCGCCCCCGCTCCGCTGATGGTTGACTCAAGACAAGATTGAGGGATCTGAGATCAAGACAAGACCACGTAAAAGTGGTCTCGAGCCATCCAACTCTATTTTACGTCATCACGTGTTCACAGGTGTGTTCAGGTGTTCAGCTCTGGAGGTGCACCTCCTCTTCACCCACACCTGAACTGTGCTCATCATCTGTTTGTGGGCCGAAGAGCAAAAGAAGATGATGGTGATATTTAAAGATTCAGTTCTTCATCAGAGTCTGGATCCTCAAGCCTCTCTGCAGAGGTCAAAGGTCAAGGTTAAATGTGAAAAGCTGGGACTGAACTTCTCACATCAAACCAGAGTTTCATGAAACTTGCTTGCTGAGGACGATCACACACAGTGAAACACAAAGAAGAGTGGAGAAAAGCTCCGTTACAGCGCCCTTTAATGTTTGTGTGACCGTCTGCCCCAACCTGGCTGTAAGGACGACGTGAGCCAATGAAATGAGAGGTTAGAGGGGCGTGGTGCGGTTTCAGGGTCTGTAATGAGGCCGGTTTACGGCTCTGTTCCCACACTTTATTGTCCCTCAGGTGAGCCTCTGAGCAGGTGGCTAGCATCCCCTCCTCCTCTGGAGCTGCCAGGTATGTCTCCCCGAGGCCTTCAGGGTCACTCGCACTGCTCTGTGAATCTGAACGTTGTGAGGGTTCTCCATGAAAATCAGATGTTTTATCCAAACAGCAGAAATGATTTCCCAGATAAAAAACAACCATGAAGCTGAGCGGCTGGAGATTGTTTGGTCAGCTGACCCAGTAACAGCTGTTTCACTTTCATGGACAGATTTCTTGTTACTGGAACACTGATGATAATAATAAGCTGATGCTAAGGCAGGCGTGGGCAATCTCAGTCCACAAGGCCCGGGGCCCGCAAGGTTTAAAAGGGGCCCCCAAACAGCACAGCTGATTTAAACGGCTAAATTATCTCCTCCACATGTCCTGAAGTTCTCCAGATGTCTGGTAACGAACGAATCATGTGATTCAGGTGTGCTGACCCAAGGTGAGAGCTAAAACCTGCAGGACGCCAGCCCTCGAGGCCTGTGACGGCCCACCCTGTGCTAAGGCCTCGTTATCGGAGGAGAAACCTTCTGCTGCGCTCGTCTGACTCTTAGCTGATTAAAGTTTTTTTTAAAAAAGCTGAAGCTGGGTCGTGTCTGAGTGTTTTTGGCGCCGAGCGAGTTGCAGCTCGCCAAACAACGTTCTGAGCGTGAAGCAGGTACCCGAGACCCCTCCGGACGGCGCTCGCCGTGTCTCTGTCAGGGTTTTATTGCAGCTGCGACGGCTTCTCCCGCTCTCTCTTCCTACTGTCTCCTCGTGGCACTCCCTCACCTCCTCACCTCCTGCTCTTCCTCTCTTTTTTCTGTCTTTCCATCATCTCTGTCTCTGTTCAGCTCATCTCTTTGTCTCTTTAGACTTCAAAGCAGAGGAGGGCAGGGGTGGGCGGAGCCTGCTGTGTAAACTCACTGAAACATTTTGGTCACACAGATTTAATCCTGTTACAAAGAGCCTCCGACTGTCTGACCTGCTGTACAGGTGAACCCACCGTCACCCCCTCCCCCTGTGGGAGGCGTGTCCTCAGCACTCAGGAGGAGGAGCCACCAGGAGTGTGTTTGAAGGCTTTTCTTGTAGGAAACAAAGAGGCGGACATGTCCATACCTGCTCACGCACACGGCGCTGAGAGCAGGCCGCTCTGGCCCAAATGAACACAAATAAGCACGTCTGGGCTTTGTTTGCATCGCAAATACGACACGGCGGCGTTCGCTTCCCGTCTCTGTCCTCTCAAACCCCGCTGTGGCAAACCTAGATGAGCATAGTGGTGACAGTAAACACATCACATGACATTTCTGTGACACCGGTGTTGTGCCAAAAACTGGTTTCCAGTGTTTCTGTGTGTTTTTATGTGTAATATCTTTGCGCATGTTGGTAAATAGACTTTACAGGGTGACCCAGCTGCTGACAGGTCGAATCTTCCTCCAGCTGTTTCTCTCTCAGTTTTCAGCGTTTTGTCGACCCGTCCCAACTTTGACACACGTGCTGCCGCCATCAAAGTCAAACTTTATTGAAATGGTTCATTTTCTCCTTCAAATGTTTTCTGTGGTGTGAATAAATTTGGGTTGATGAGAGTCGGAAATGATTTCATTCCGTTTTTATTTCACGCAGCGTTTTGGACTCTGCAGCGCTCCCCTGGGTATTCCTGTGAATCTCCCTCATTATTCGGAGGACACCTCGTGGATGTCGGGCGCGTCTCTCGGGCTGACCTCTGGATCAGAGCCTGAATGAAGCTCAGTTTGCTGCTCACTTCAAACTTTGCTCCTCGCTGCACACAGACCTCTTCATCTGTGTGTGTTTGGGGAGGCGGGGCTGAGTGGGTTCAATTGATGGGGCAGTTAGCAGTTTCCATGACAACATGTGACCTATCCCTCGCTCCTCCTTTGGTCTCTGTGGTAACCATGAAGTAGATTAGTTATAGAGTTCAGGGAGAAAGGCAGGATTAGTGAGGTGAAACGCCAAGGCCTCTTTCTTCTTCTTCTCTTCCTGTGTTTGGCTCGCTGTGAGTTTTTCACACTTTATTTCTCGTCTCTTGTTCGCGTTCCTTTCATTAAGAGTCCATTTCCTGATTTTAAACTCACCAGCAGGAAGTAACTCTTCATGGACCGATTTTTCTTCTCCTCACTTCCTGTCTAGTAACGAGCTCACGTGTCCAGACTGCTCAAAACACTCAGTTTATCACAGTTTTTCGCTCCTGGCTCTGGATGATGTCGTGGACCGCAGCCCCCCCCCCACCTGTTGTTTGTGAGTGTGCGTGTGTTGTCATAGTGCTAATTTGTATGTTCTGCAGATTACAGAATAGCATGATGTGGGCGGGGCTACCTGTTCCTGTGTGAGACCGAACAGCAGTGATGCTCAGTGTTTTCTTCCTGTTGCCTAAACTTCTCATGCCACAGTTTTGTTCTACATGTTCAAGGACAATACACGGCTACTCTACTCTACTCTATTCTACTCTACTCTACTCTACTCTATTCTACTCTACTCTACTCTATTCTACTCTAGAACCTCTGCAACTTGAACCAAAGCTACCTGTTCAGTATGAACTGTGCGCGACTCACCTGAGCACCTTTTATCTGTGTGTTTGAGGGAAAAACTCTTTAATCTTCTAAAGTGGCTCCTGGAGCCACGTAATTACACGGCAGCGCTCCATGAGAAACACACTCAGCTCTGCAGGTGTTTCCCGTCAACCCTGTGGTTCCTCTGACGTCCAGCAGAGGCAGCAGTGAGTCGTGTTAAAACGTTACAGCCTGATACACAAACTGTTGGCTCTCTGCGGATCATTTCCTCCACAATCACACCTGTACGGGGAGGATGTTTGTGTAACACGCCTGCTTTAAGGTTTGTAATTTTAGGGCGTGGCCTCTGTGACTGACAGGTGGATGGTGACACAGAGGGCTAGCTGCTAGGCTAAGCTGGACCTGTGGACCGTTTTTGTGCTGTTGGAGCCTTTTGGAGCATTTTTAATGACATCACGTGACCAATAATATGGCTGCTGTGAGGTCACTGCACTAACAGAGCGCTCATGTAGGTTTGATTAGCAGGTCTGTGTGGATGCCAAACACAGACGCTGCCCCAGCTCCCAGGAGGCGGAGAGCAAGGAGGGCGGATTATAACCACAGAAGAAGAATGACAGACAGACAGAAGCCCGAAGCTTCAGCTACCTGCAGCTTTGACCTTTAACTAGGCTCCAGTGAACGGCCGCTCGCTCCGTTTTCAGTCAAATGGAGTTTGATCGGCGCCCATAAACAGATGACAGCAACAGTTTTATTACCTGGGCAGGTAATTCCCTGGATCACGTGATGCAGCACACTGAGGAAAGACGCTTTCTTCAAGTTCAAATTAAACTACTTAAAGTACTACACAGGTTAAAGCACTCCTCCTCCTGCAGCTGCTGCTCCACCTCTGAGCTCCACCTGTGAGGCCTGCGCAGGTGTCATTCTCCATCAGCTGTTTCGTGTGTTCTGGGTTGTTGTTTCAGTCTTACCTAATCACGTGTCTGTTTTTACACAACGATCAGTATTTTAATCAAACATGCTTCGTGTGCACTCAGATCTGGACTCATTCGTGCTGCTAAAACCAGACCTCAGACATCAAACAGGTTTATCTAACAACAACTCATAAACTCGAGTCTTCAGCCACTAAAATCAGCTTCAGTTGGCCGCAGGCCTACGAGGAAGCTCTGCGCCCTCCTCCTCCTCCTCCTCTGGGGCCGGGCCAGAGATGGGGTAGGGGAGGGTGAGGAGAGAGAGAGGGAGGGAGGGGGAGGACTGAGTGTTCCTGCTGGAGCGACTCTCGGAGAGGACAGAAAGCTGTGCGCTCCGCTCCAGGACTCAGCGCCTCCTCTTCCTCTCTGCGGCTTTTTCACTTCACGCGCTCCGGTCCCGCAGAAGCTTTGACCCCCCCCTCACAGCCTCGGTAACTTTCTAAGACTTCGCCACCCCGTCTCACAGTTTGCTCCTGGAGTTTGTCGGGCAGGTGGGATGATGGTGAGCGGTCCTGCGCGGCTCTCGGAGCTGCTGTGGCCGCTTTTAGTGACCTGCTGCTGGCGCCTCGCCTCGGCCCAGGAGCTGCCCACCAACGGGGTGAACGGATACAGCCTCCACCCGCCCTACTTTAACCTGGCGGAGGGCACGAAGATCACCGCCACGGCGACCTGCGGGGAGGACGAAACCGGCAGGAGCGTCCAGGACCTGTACTGCAAGCTGGTCGGGGGCCCGGTGTCCGGAGACCCGAGCCAGACCATCCAGGTGAGTCGCTGTGAGGTGTAGATCTGAAGCAGGTGCTCGTGGCGTCACTCTGAGTAGTTGCAGCACGCAGTGTGTGCGTGTGAGTCATTATAAGGTATCGGCTTATGACCGAGTTTATAAGCATCAGCGAGTGTAAGAGGGGAGATCCGTCCGTGTAAGCGTGAGCAGCAGTCCAGACTTCACCCGAGCTCATGTTTACTCTTTGTCTGTGTCAGCGGAGCTTTGCATGACTCACAGTTTAAAATAATCCTTCTTTAT